GATCTGCAAGCCTTGCCTGCAAGCACGCATTCACAAGCTATTTGATAGCCACATATAGAGGCGTCAACTCCGCTATGGGATGTTATGGGAGTGTCGATTGCAGATGTTCAGTTGTTGTTTCTCTTTGGTTTCAATTCCTGACTACTAGCGATTTGCAATCAAGCGCACAACTTGAAATGACTGGGAGTACAGAGTGCATCACTTGTGATGAAAGCAACGGCAACAAACGCCAAACGCCAGCTTGCAAAGATCACTCTCATCACGGTTGCATTTTCTGTGTCATCTGAGCTTTCAAATCAATGCACCAGTGACCCCTTGCGCTTTTCAACTAAGGGCCTCATGGCGCTGCAAGGTTCCGACCTAAGCTGCGCCGCAGTACTCCATTGGTTACGATCCCCAGAGAATGGCCGGAGTCTGGTCTCCTCACTTTTATTGGTTACTTTGTGGGGTTCAAGTTTTTTTGGCTCAGACTTACAGTTTTCACCCTCAGGACCCACACATGCCGTTGAGCGATGCCAAGAAGGATTCTTGCAGTGGGCCCAAGTCGCCATCGACGTGCACCAAGACCTCAGTGGGCAAATGACTGACACAGAGGATTCGCTGGAGTTATCGCTGCATCATTTTCATTTTCTTGCTATATTTCCTGTTTTGTATTGGCGACATGGTAAATCCACCGACTGGCACCCAACCTATGCGATTGTGGCTGTTGAGCTGCTTGCCTTGCGGGTTTTCCCTGGAAGCCTTGTACCTGTGACAAGAATGGAGTCTGGGTTTCACGCCAAAACAGAGCAAATGAAAATCAACATAAAGCGACATTCTACAGCTTGGGAGTTCAATCTCCTAGTCATTTTCAAGAGAAATATCACCAATGCTAGTTCAAAGATCTCTGAGAGAGAGAGAGAGAGTCCCACGTGTATATGGAGTCGTTCGGATTTCAAATTTCAACGTTCCCTTGGGGCCTGTGTCCAAAATGCCCATCGATGAGTTGGGAGGCAACAAGCGACTTGATCCTGTGCGCTCGAATGCGCTCTCGCAAGGAGAAGGGAGGGGCGTGACTATGACTCCCAGTAATCCAGTGCTTCAAGACATTTCAACAAAAAGACAAGGCATGAACTTCGAGATCCTTTTTCAGACCTCAAGACCATGGCAGGGCAGTGCCTGGCCTGTACAAAAAAGTCAGCTCACTATCATAAACGTTTGTTTGACCGTGAAACAGAATCCTGCACATTCCCCGACTTAGTTTCATCTCCATACACCTTCTCTTTATGGAGGTTTTGTTGCTGCTCTCCTGTTCATGCTTCAAAAATGCTGTGGAGATCCAGATTCTCTACCAGCTAATTCGGGTTTCCCATCCATCGCTCCTGCCACCGGCCGTTGCAGAGCATCGCAGGCATCCAAGGCCAAAGACGTGGTGTTGAGACGCCGAAGCTGAGCAGCGACGGAGCTTAGGGAATAACTGGTGGCACCATTTGCGCTAAATCTGATTTCATCATGGAGATGGAAGCAGAACTCAAGCCAAACCCCTCTTGGAAGCTACCCGCTCTGCACTAGGCTCCCTGACTTCCCACGGTTCAGCCTTATGTGACAACAACATTGAGAGCCGTTTCAGGAAGTTGAGTTCACTGATTGTTGTTGCAATGCGGCTACAGCTTTGCCAATCGTGAATGGACGGCATTTCCCTTGACCTCTGGGAACTACTCACATGTCTTCTCAAAATTCCAAGATGTCTCGAACTATGGGTACTCAATGCCTTCATGTTCCTTCGTCGATCCTTGGAGGACTTTTGATCTTGAAAGGCCTCTAGCCATCGCAAAAGCCACAACGGTGACTGAACTCACATCCCACCTGACGTGACAAGGCATCGATGCAGGAGGACTTTCCCACCTGGGCACAGTGTAGCTTGAAAGCACCTGTAGAGTTCATCTAAGCATTCCACATTAAGGCTATGGATGAATCGAAATTGAAAAGAAGCAGTAAAAAGCATCAAGTTTTAAACCACAAACGAGCACATGGAACCTGCATGGGTCAAATTTTGAAATTTGGATAGTTTGCGGAAAATACTAAGGAATGACGGTGACGAAGTCTGTCCAATTTTGTGCAATACCAATGAATATCCACTTTTTGGATCACGTTGCAACGGCATCTAGCTCCCATGAGGATACTGGGTGGGTTTGAGCGCGGAAAAACAATAGCTCAGTTGCTGACTGCCACGGCGCCAAGCACTAGGACCTTGGTGGCCACCATGTGGAATGCATTGGAATCTTGATAAATAGAGATTCTTTTACAGCCACTGCCTATTGCACCATGAGGTGTGATGACAGCGATGCGTGTAGTCAAACGAAAGGCACTGAATGATGGGATGCTGTCCAGATCGTTCTGTCTCCCAACCCACTGGATCTTGGTTGCGGACAGCCCGAGTCGGCCTGGCAAAGCACACAGTGGATCTGAGAATGGTCATCTTTTGGATCTAACGAATAAGGACGGGAAACACTTCTCTTATATACCTTTAACAGGAATGTCATCTACAAATGGTCGATTTTCCAGCTCTGCTAGTCGCAAATTCGTCGTTGCGTCTAAGTTGGCCATTCAAGTACCGCTTGCCTCCATTCCGCTCAACACACACATGCCAGTTGCACGGCATGCCAATGCAGTAGTCAGTCTCTGAGTGACACTGATCCACCCACGAGTTCCTTAGCAACTGTCCATCTCAAATGATGCAACTTCAAATGCAGCTGGATATTTCCAGTCAGTCTTCAATCTCTATACTTTATCATTGCATCTCCAAAAAAGTCGGCCAAGGGTCATCCGCCGCAATGCTTGGATCTGGCTCTCCCTGGCCGTCAAACCCATCTCCTGGATCCAGTTGTGGTGATTTCACACATCGATCGCTGCATCCTGTCCATGTTTATCGGCCTAAAGCGATCCAAACCACCAATTTCATTTTCAAGTCTGACAGGTCTCGTGGATGTTTGGGGTGAAGGGACCAAAACATCCCAACATCTTGCAGCTCCTCCAAGACTGCTTTGGCATCCGCCCTCAGCTTGACATCCAGAAACACGCATGAAACACGAAACGTTTCAACAACGAAGGAGCCGAGTACGGCAGGAATCGGCAGGATCAACGCTTGCCGGCCAAGTGACTCCAAGCTGACCTTGTCAATTTGCTCGTTGACGGCTCTGAGATCGTCCTGATCCGATCAACGATCCCGTGAAGTCTGCTTGGTAAAATAAAACAGAGATGCCTGGCACGACCATGAAACTGGAATTCAAAAACGCTGCTGCCACCTTTTCCCCTTAGCCTAAGAGACCATAAAAAGTAAGAACACGTGGTAGCTATTTTATGTTATTTTCCCCAACGAGACATCGTGGAACGGGAATAAAAGCACGGACAAGAAAATGCTGAAAGACAAGGTAATAGGAGCTCTTCCGGTACGCACTCGCTGCACAGCCCATGTCATGATTCCCGTATGTTCCTGTGATACGTTCAAGAGCTTCATGAGTTCTGATGCCTCGGTGGCTGTTCAGGAGGGCTTTGCCTAACAACTTGACATGGAGAGAATCATCACACGTGTTTATTGGTGCGGCAAATACGATTGATGGGATTCTACTTTGGGTAATAAGGTTTGATCGATTCCATGTCTTCCTTCCATCAGCACTTGTCATCTCATGGCAATTTGCTGGCACATCTGCCAGGCTTCCGAACACCGTCAGAGGAGTCTCCGTCCAAGAAGCACAACTGGAACGGGCAAATCCGTCTAAGGATGCTGATTTCTTGTGACTTCATGGTCTGGAATGAATTCGTGCAACTTTGCTCGTTTTCAAAGTTGCATTCCAATCGGCAGTCTTGGCGTGATAGAGCAGCCGCAGGTGCAAAGTGTGTGGCCTGGAACGCACGATAAAGGCAAGCCCGGGCCTTAGCGTATGGTTTCCGTTGCAGAAAGATCCGCTTCCAAAATCAGAACTGACAAATTGCATCAACTTGTTTTCTGATCTCATGATATCCCATGATCAACCAAGAGAGTAGGTTGACTTTGACCTTTACCCAAACCTTACCCACAAGCTTTTGCCAGGTGGTCAGACTGCCACATTCACCAACACCCTGACAGGACTTATAACTTGATGGGTCTCCAAAGGGCCGTACCCAGGAAGGCGCCAAGGTATCTTGCAGCAGCGCCCCTGACAGCAGAGCTCGGGGGTAATGAAACAATATGAAACAATCGTGTTGAAAGGTGCTGAAACGGTAATTAATCAAAATCAAAAGGCGCAACTGCAACAGACTTCCCCTTGTTTGACCACACCCAAGCAGGATTGCCTTGCACTGTTGGTCGTCGAGGCCGTTCTGATTCCAATTCTGCGCACAGCTGCAGCGTCAGAGTTCCAACATCATCACTGGAATCCGTGGTGGAAATCAATTCACCGTCAGCTGGGTTGCAGCACCCATTTCCACTTTTGAGCTTCTGATCAATCAATCCGCCAACCTTTACTGATAATGTTTGACCGCTTTGTTTTCGTGTTGCATGAAACTGTGCACCCGTTTCACATCATTTCACATGGAATCTGTGTTTCAATTGCATGAGACCTGTCACACCGGCCTTCGCGAGCCACGGAGGGTCGACGTTCACGTGCCACTGAGGGCCGACGGTCGCGCACTACGGAGGGTCGACGAAATGAACCTGAGAAGTAGACTTGTGAGGGGCTTGCCTCCAGTGACCACTTGCATGTGAAGTTTTACGAGTTGGTAAAAGTCCCTTTACCTGGATTTGGCAGGGTTGAATGGGTTGATGCCTCAGAAAACCCCTTATCTGGAATGGACTACGCAACTATCACAACAAATCATACCTACCAGATCTCCCCATTTTTTTCGGGATTTCATCCATCAACCCGTCATCAAGTTGCCCTGAGGCTCCAACTTGAAGTTCCGGGTTCCAACCTCGGCCCCAGGGACGCTGGGCTCCACTCACCCACTGAGGCGCCAAACAAAAAGCGTTCCAAGCCGTGGACGGCAACTCTGATCCACCTTCCGGCCTCGGTGGCTGGGAAGATCTGGGAAGCGTCTGGGAAGGGTGGTCCAATTTTGATGGGATCTTGGAGGTTGATATGGTCTTAGATGTTCTTAGCAAATGGAAATGGAAAATAGTTTCTCAAAGACAAGGAATGGGACAACTTAAAGCTCGCTTAAAATTAGTTTCAACCAAAAAGCAAAACACATCTCTACCCACAACAAATGTGTCAATGGGTTTGCATTGCCAAATGCAATGGGACTTAAGAATGCAAGACTGTGGTCGATGAGCTTGTCAGTATCGTGCTATTGATGCTGCACACTTCATCGGTCTGTTCGCTGAGCTTGCCGACCGAGTCCTCAAGTTGTCGATCTTGCTATCTTCCCTTGGCACCGTGAGGCTGCAGAAGCCGCTACCAAGCGCTGAGTTGCCACGGTTTCACGGGCCCTAAGTTCACTTTTATCAAACTCAAAAGCCACCTTTTCCTGTTTTCTGTGATCCAGCTATACTCCATGGTCACTGAGTTCCGTTACGAGGATGCACGTCCTTTGGCCAAACGCCGTGATCTCCGCACCTGCTTCATCCATGGCAATTGGCAAGGGGTCAAACTTCCATAAGTGGAAGGACGGGCCAATCCTGATACAGAATTTACCGGGAAATTCGCAGGATGAAAACGATGAAAAGCAAGAAAAAGGTAAATCCAGTTTCACTCAGCATCCCAATGATTCCGATAAAGAAGGACTTGCCCAGGGCCCGGGGGTTGGAAAACGTGCTGGCCTGGACTGTGATCTTCACAGTTGTCTCGCACAGCAATCGGAGCTGCCAGAGCCTCAGTGATTTCTTGCCGGCACCAGAAATTTGCCAGGTCTGATGATTTTTTTACATGTCCTTAAATGAGTTCGGGAAACAAATGTCCCCAAAATATCGCAGGTTGAAACTCGGAATATGTCAAATTCGGAAGGGAAGGCTGTGATGTTTGGAGACTCTGGATTGAGCTGCACACCCCGGTGAACCTCGAGGAGTTCGACCAATGTCCGCCTGACCGTTGCAACCACGGTGAAGGTCATGTCGAGTGGCGGTTGAAAGACTCCTGCTGGGAATGGACATCCTGTGGTTGAATGAATGCCTTAGCCACGCGAGTACGGCAGGATGCATGGGAATGCGCCAATTGATATGCCAATCATAGTCAATATGAGAATGCTAATCAGTGCTAATCTATGTCACGTATTGCCATGTATCCAGTAAGTTATGTAAATTAGAACACAGAAATTCCATGAATTTTCCCAAAGTTGCTGTCTGCATCCCGCCTGGGAGCTGCGGCCGGCATGTCCGGAATGCACCACACGTTGATGCGATGTCCACGACAAGAGCTGAGTGGCCTCGCAACGGTTCTGTGGTCCTAGCCATGCAGCCCTGCCGTGAGATGGATCAAGGGCTCATTGCTAATTACTATTGATATCTACTGATCAACTCGACCAACTCAACCAACTCAACCAACTCAACCAATCATAACAACATATAAACAACATATAAACAACCATTGATCTTCCCATGATCCATGGCTGCCATGGCTGTGCAATTATGGTATGTGAGCTGAAGGTATGGTAATGTGCCAGGGCCTCACAAAAGCGCCAAGCAAAGGCTGTCAGAGGGGCAACTGCCTGGATCAGAGGAGGTACAAATCCCGAGGTTGAAGGTGAGCAGGAAACAAACAACTGGGGTGAACAATGGTGAAGATATATAAAGATCCGGGTATTCATAGAAAATCATGTTAAAAATCAAAGAATGCTGAAATTTAAGTGGGTAATTTTGGTCATAAGGCTCGCCATACTTTGCTTGGGTGTTCAACCAGTGGCTGGCAACGCCGCCTTTGCTGTTGTGGGCCGCATGCTGCTGGAGAGGAGCCATAGCCTTAAAGTCAGAAGCAGCTGCCAAACATTCCGCCATGATCGATGCGGATCCATTTTTCAAGCAGAGATGCTTGATATGATGTGTCACTATGTGGACATGCCACCGTGTCAACACCATCCATCTTCTCCATGCTCGCTAAGCCGCTAAGCACTGCCAAGCAACTCGCAAATAGCATCCAGGCTTGGCGTGGCAAGAGCGTGAGGTCGGAAAGCTTGAAGCAACAACCTCCGTAGATCTAAGGAGCTTGACACGATTTGACCTCCGTTTGATGGAAATTCTTAAGTGTTTGGAATGCGAAGCATCTCGGGACCGGAATCAGCTCCAAAGCCTCTTTGAAAGATGCTTCAATTTTATGCAACTTTCATATTTTCATGCGAATTCAGAAGGTCAGGGCAGTTGAGGCTCCTGCAAGGGTAGCTTCTGAGGAGCCAACATGGCCTGTGCCATATGACTTCCAGCAACATTGGAGAAAACACAGATCCAGCAGTTGGACAAAACTGGCCGTGGGAGACAAGTTATAGGCTATAGGGTCCATGGTGCTGAAACTTGGGAGTGAACTCCAAGAGTTGAGGATGTGTTGTATTTTCTCATGAATGGAGTCTGCACCAGGACTTACAACCTCCAAGAAACATAAGAAACTATTGGTACACCTGGTACACACGTGCTATGTTTCCCCTCCCGGACATCTTGCGATGCTAAAAGTCTAGCCGAGTCCAGCTGTGACTCACCGCACCTGGGAACATTCCAAGGACACCCAGGAAGTTGGAGCCTCGCCAGATGAAAGACAGCAGAAAAGTGACGGAAAATGAATTCAATTGTGTAGTAAATTAAAGATATTAAAGTTCTAGCAAAGTTGGGAAACCAATGAAGCAGATTTCACACTTGACTTTCTGCATGCCGAAAACCTACTTTAAATCGTTCCGGGACGTTGAACCTCGTTGAACGTTCAAAGGTAAAAGCTCAACGACAAACATGGCATGACTGGCACAGTGAAACGCAAGCACTGGCACCTCTGTGGAGAGATTCAGACGACAGGCATTGAGATGGCCTCAGCCGTGTTCCAACGGTTCGGGCAGTATTCGTTGACCTTCAAAGTTTTCGCCATGGGTCGACGAATATCATCAAAGTTGGATGGTTGACTTGCAAAACTGCCCAAGATCTCTCCGTTGTGGCATTCTGACCAACAGATGTCTTTGTAGAGGGGATAGATACACTCAATCCCAAGGCTCCTGGCTATGCAACTCTTGTGCCAAGACTGACAAGACTTGTACCTGTCATCCGTGCCCAGACACATCCAGACACCCATGAAATCTCTGCTTTGTTAATGCGAACTTGTTGGGGCACGTGAGCAGAGACTTCCAGGGAGATGGTCAGCCACATCTTCGCCAACATGACGCCTTCCTGGCTGTGCAAACTCATTGTGATGCTCAAATCCAGATCTGGCTCTTCCATCTGCCCACAAATCCACTGGTTTCTACTGGGTAGTTTCTCTACTATTTGTTCTTGGAAGATCTTGGAAGGACATAGCCTGTACGGCCACCTGGCTCGAAACTGCAATCGAGTTTCGAGATGTCTCCAAACCGACAAGAAAGAGGTTCGCCAATCTGCAGTGAAGTTGGGTGCAAGCTATGAGTGGTTCGGACCAGTGAAACAACATTGAAGGGAAGCTACCCAATAGACCGCAAAAACTTGAAAGCTGATGCATTGGGACCAAAGGCGAAACTATGTCGAGAACATTAACCATCAATCGTAAGGATCCAGGGCTCATTGGCTCCCCTGTCCTACCGGCTAAGGTTGCACATTCATGAACGCAAGGTTGCAAATGTTTCAGACAATCTCCCTGGATGGCATGTCTTGGTCAGACCCGCCAGCGATGGGTTCAAATAACGTCGCGATATGAGGCTCCCACTGACGAAGATCTTCTCCTGCACAATACCTCGGCAGTGCCAACCAACAAACATTGGGGAAATTTGGGGAATCTATCCATGCTTGCCATTCAGTTCACACGATACCAAGCCTGAAGTGAAGTGCCATTAATGCTGGGATGTTCTTGCGATTTGGAGAGTTTCTAGCCTCCGTACAGATTCTTGAGATGTACACCTACGATCACCTACGGACCTACTGGCTGATGATATGTTTTCGCTGGCACTTAGCAACAGTGTGTCGCCAGGTTGCCCAGTTGTCTCGCTAAATAAGCGGGTGCTTCCCCGCGGCACTCGCCGCAACTCATCACCTGCCATGGCAAAAGGATTTCCAACGCAGTTCCCGTTCATGTCATCTTGAGGTGACATCTTGGTGCCTTTCCCTGAATAAAAAGGATCCTGAACCAAAGTGCATCCAAGCCTTGAAGCTCAATTTGTCTAATTTCACTTAGTTTCACCCGGTTTCACTGATCCTTTATGATCCTTTGCCCACTCCACTGAAGGATGCGGATCAAAGCCGCCAGCGACACTCCTCTTGCTGTCGCAAAGGAGTGCACCATGATGAGCCTTTGGCAAAGGAGAGCGTGCACCCGTCCCTACCCGTCACCCATGAAGCTCTGTCTCTGTCGATAAATCGGACCTCTCCTGGGCGCCCCACTGTCCCTTCTCAGTCTGCGGATCCCAATACATACGACCTGCTGGGCCCACGTTCCCCAGGTATTGCCAGGCATAACCTGGCGGCCACAGGACAAACGTGTCCAAAATTGTCCAAAATCATTTGGACCCGAATCCTTTCCCTTCTGCCCTTCAGACTGTACCTCTTTAGATTGCTGTTGCCAGATTTTGAGGTATCAGAGAATGCTAGTCTGTGCAGAACTACATCTATAGATTATAGATATCTATAGCATGTTTTCTGAACTCCAGCAACAATTCATTCTGGAAGTTATGGAACTTCGAGTCAAATTTTGTCAACAGGCCATGTGGCGCCTATGTCGAATCCGGCCATGGAGAGGGTGTACTGGCCTCAGCTGAAGCGAGATCGAGCTGAACTGGCTGAACTTGGGCCAAAATGGCCAAAATGGCCACAGAAAGAACCTGTGGAAAGTTCATGATGTTCATGCTCAGAGATCTCAGAGTTTATACAGGCTCCTGAACACAAATCTGTCGAACTCTGTGTTGTGATTGAGTATCAAGGAATCTTGTCGACAAAGATGACACGGCATTCTGCATGCCTCAATACTTTCATCTTAGTCAGGCAGTTTGATGATCTAATAGGATGTCCTGAAGTCTAGAGGAAGCCTTCTGACTGGTGAAATTCTAATTATCCACAGCTTCTTCCATTTCCTTTCATCTTGCAATAGAAAAATTGGATCTGCCAGCCCCGTTTGAAACTCTGAGGTAGCTGCCACGGTCAACATAGGACTGGAATTCTTCCCCATTGGTTGCGGTCTTTGAACGCATGTAGTGCCCTGGCAGTCCAAGGAGGTGAGTTGAAACAGGACCCTAAATACTCAACGAACTCTTGCCCATACAAAACAACAGCTCAATTCATGGATCATGCTGGGAAGGCCACGCAGTGCTTTTTATTTGGTGAGACTCATTGAACTGTGTTCCATGCGTTCAATCATAGCATGTGCATCATGCTGGCAAGAATCCTAATAATAAAATCGAATTGGAAGCGGCAAATATGTATCCTAGTTTTTGCGGGCAACAATATTTGCATTGACCACAAGGGATTAGAAGCAGAGCAAACCACTCTTGTGCAAAGACTCACGATGAACTTGAAGAAATCACTCCCAGCTGACTAGACCGGCTGTCACTTTTACTCTGTGTCAGTCGCAGATGAGTCGCTGGTGTCAGCATCGTCCGAGTTGGGGTGACAAGCACAAACCTTCAAGGCAAGGAATGCATTTTGGCCCCTGCTGAAGAACAGCTGCAACAGGTGGAGACCAAAGGGAAGCCTGGCTGTTCCTCTAATGCCCAGGAAGGCCAAGAAAATCATGATCAGCAAATGAAGATCTGAGACAGTGAGCCACAGAAAGGCCACCGTTGTGAAGTGCCCCATGAACGACAGGACCACAGCAATTGCAAAGAATACCAGCATCCCTGCCATAAGTTTGCCCATGACCTTTAGAATGAAGCACTGTTCATCTGGAGGGCTTACAAAGAGCCTCACTACTAAAATCAACCTGCCAATGATAGATATCCCCGGGAGAATTGCCAGGTACCATGTTGCTCCCTGGTACAATATGTGGAGAATGGTCGCTGTGATGGCTGCCATAGTGCCAAAAGGGCCAAGCAAAAGTACTGTCCCGGTGATCTCTGAGAATGCAGCAGATTTGATATTCACCCCTGCACAGGCTATGTCCCGAAATGTTGGAGTTGACATGCCAGCAGTCAGCAGTACATCAATCGCATGGTCAACAGCACCAATCTGATTGCCGATCTCCCGACGAATCTTTGCTGCGTCCGCGGCCTGTGAACATTCCGCGTGTTCAATGCCTTTGTAGCCCCTGCGGAGCTCTTCAGCTTCATGGACTGTGGATTTGCCGTGGACGCGGTCGAATTCCATGACACAAAGAACGATCGAACCCAAGGCCCAGTAGCACTGACGGGTCATGCGCAGTATTTCTCGTGGCTCACCCTCCAAGCTGCTGTGGAAGTAGGGAACCCAATGGGTCAACTGAATCCATATCAAAACCTGACTGAAAAAGTTCAGGACCAACCGGAGTGTGTTGTTCTCGATCGAAAGACTCAAACCACAAGCAAATCCAGCCATAGCTGGAAATCCCACTCTGCTGTGAAACTTGAGGAATCTGAACGTGGTGCCTAAAGAAGCACCGATGATTGCAGCTACAGCCATTCGTAGCAACAAATGCAGATGGGCATAGAAATGTGAGGCTTTGGCAATCAGAATTGTTTTGCCCTCTTCTTGAGCCAAATACGCCTCATAGGCGCACCAAAGCCTCGAATATACACTTTTGTGACGGTTTGGCACCACCAAAACGACTTTGGAGGCTCCCAGTGCAATTGCAAAGGGCGAATTTCTGGGCGATACCAAAAAGGAAGAAATATTCAAATTTTGAGGATTGGCGAGCATACAGCACCAAGCGTGTCGCAAACCTCTTGGCCAAGAGTTTCTGACTTTGGCTAAGAACTCAAAAACACCTTCTTGCCACGCATGACTAACAAAGAAATCGCAATCCAAACCTTCTCGATTTCTCATTAAGGCCCAACTCATCTTGCCAGCCTGGCTCGTCACAGGCTTGATGTACTGTTCATTCACCGTGTAAATATTTGGCCCATACTCTGCTGCCCTGTGAAAGTTGTCCTGACCATCTGCCGGCGGCTGAATTTCACCGCATTGGATGGCACGCTGCAGTTCTTTTCGGAGAAAGTTCAAGTCCGAAAAGGTGACACACCAGCGATCTGCTGGAACCGATTCATGCAGTGAATAAGCGTTTGAGGTCGTGTTCCTTTGCTGGCTGCGTTCTGTCGGCATTGCTGCCAGGCAAAAGGCCCATCCTTTTCAAAAGAAAAGTTCCAACTTTTTATGATCCATTTCAGAGTAGATCATCAGCTTTTTGAATATTTTGAATCTGCCACAATCTCAACTTCCAAACTCAGGTGAAACAGGAGGTCTCTAAGTTTGCTCATACATATATATATACATATATATATATTCAGAATATAAGAATGCAATGTAACACGATTCTGGGGCTGCAAATGCGTGTCCAGACATAAATCAAAGATAGTGCGTTGATCTGTTGCTTCAACTTGTGGATCTGAGCCAAAAAGAATGGTCACGTGGAGTGCTCCACAGGAGTGCTGCAAAAAAATGATACTAAAAAGTGTATACACATGTGCAATAAAAAGCTCAGCTCATCTCAGCTCACTATGCATCTATTAGAAGTCTATAACAACATGACATGCCAGCAGTACGGAGTGTGGTGAGCCACCGATACGAAGTGAGGGCCAACTTCCCTTGCAAACCTTCTGGACGCTCAAGCTCCTCATCGTACGAGGGATTGCTGTGGACCCGGGTGTGAACATCGCAAAATGATGTATAACATTATACAACATTATACAACATTATATTTAAAATTATATTATATTATATATATATTATATTATATTATATTACATTATAATATTATATATATATTATAAATATTATATTACATATAGGTAATATATTGTATATATATATAATCATATTTAAATATATTATATATATATTATAATAAATATGTAACTGTATATATATGATTGTATATGTGATATATATATATATAAACTATAAATAACTATAACATACTAAAACATCATATCACATTATTGCCATCATCCAACAGAATTCGACCAGTACAGCTATTATAGTTTCAGCAGGCTATCAGCTGAGTCTTCAGCGAACAGCCCGTCACAGCCTGTCACAGCCCCATCTGAGGACTCAACCAATTGCTCGATGATCTGCGTTGCAGGGTGGAGTCAGGTGAGGGTTTCCCCAGCTGTGGGAATCATGCATCTTTCAGAGAATAAAAATGAAACGATTACATTGATTACATATTTGCAAATTGGACACGTACGTAGTACGGACTTGGGATCCCTGATTCTGAGTCACACCCACATCAAAAATTCAAGCTGCAATAAAAAAGATCCAAGCGCCAGTGAGTCAATCCCTCCGAACGGAACAGATTCTACCACGGCCTCCCGCCAGCGAAGCAGTTGTTGCAGAGCCGAAGCCATGCTGATCCTGCACGCAGTAGGGAATCCTCTTGATGACGACATGATACAAACAAGTTGTCAAGTCAGAGTTTCGTTGCTGAATTGACAAACGTTGCCAACAAGCATGTCCACAGCACTCCGCAAACCCTTTATTTGCCCAGGCTTCAAATTCACAGGTGCTAGTCACTGATATTGATCCATTTAGAACTCTCTGCATACCCCCCAGACGTGCCTGAAAAGTTGCCACGGTACCTGACGCAACACATGAGGGCAGGACAAACATCGAAACCTCTTTGGGACAAAAATGAGACAAACCATGACAAACCGAAAAGCCGAAAAAGCCGATGATCTCTGATGATAGCCGATGATCAAAGCCGTGCCGCACCTGCGCTTGGACATGCTCTGGTAGAAGTTTGTGTGCCTCAGAACATGCCAGAGGTGCTAAGATTAAGTCGATTAAGTCGATGATTTTGTCCAATGCCTTTTGACACGACTCAATCGTGTCTTGTTTCGGGGATGTTTCGCCATGTTTAGGGATCATGTTCGTGCTCAGCCTTTCAGGTTCCACAGACCACATCAGTCCACATCAGTGCCTCTAGGTTTAGCATCTTTGCTCAGCTTCTGAATTTCTGATGCAACTCCGTTATCTTTAAGATGCCATCACGAACAAGTTTTTCACTAGCCACATCGTGGCCACGTTGTAGCTCTCTGGGTATGGGGCTCCTATTTCCTTCTTCCTGCCGCCCATCTCCGCCTCAAACGACAAAGAGTCCACAGTGGAACCACTTGGTGCAGCATCCATGAAAGCAAATGGAATGTTGAATCTCATCATTACAAATCATGAAAACATGTGAAAACTTACTACTAGTAACTATAGTAACTCCACAAGTATAATTCAGCCTGGTTTTGGCACATCTGGTGCAGCTAAGCAACACGAGATGATCTGGCTGAAGAGAGGCCTCCTGGCCAGTCGAAGCTTTCCAGAAAGGAAAGCAAAATTTGATCAGAAATGCCAAACATATCAAAAGAATCTCGAAAAGAATATGAAAATCCTCCAATGTCAGAAATTTCCTGGTGTACATCATCTTTATCCACCATCCTCTGACCACCCTCATGTCCCCAGTTTCCCCAGACGTTCCTGGTGCCAGTGGTGGGGGCTCCAAACGGACTGCCTGGCGGATGGAATCTCATGGTGCCAAGCCATGTGGGCAACAACTGCTGTCGAATTCGAATCGTCCGCGGGGAAAAAAAACTTGAAAAACTGATGCAACTGATGCAGTGGCAGCTGATTTTGAGGCTTTCCGATGTAATTTGGGTAGAACAAATTCGTATTGTGTATAACACACATGTAAACATGTAACCCTTGGACTAGACATTGCGCGAGCCTTCCGGGCTGCCATGCGTCCTCCTGTGAACAGCTTGGGCTGATGAACAGGAATGAGTACTCAGTTGATGGCTCTGCATGAGCCAGTAACATATGCAGAAACTCCAAGAGGGCTTCAAAATGATGACTGCCCAAAAATCAGAATAGACATATGGACATGCTATGAATTTGCTAAACTCAATGAGTAGAATTCAATTGCGGGATTCAGTATGAGACTGAAACCGGGCATTTCCTGTTGCAGCTCAGTACTCGCCAACTCTGTGGAAAAAACACAGTTCCCACCTGCAGGCTGCTCATCGCTCTCCTGTCACCGGTTGTAATGAACAGACGATCGGTTCAACTGACCCTAACTCAGAGCTGTGAAGCGACAGCAATGAACCCGATATTAGCCCGATACGATATGAACATATGTAATGAATTGTAATGACACATATGTGGAAAAAGTATGTGAAAAAGATATGACAGGTTTGAAATATCCAATGGGAACGAGGCCAATTCAGTCCTCGCTTTCCACGGACTCGTCACTGGTCGGTTCCTGAGCGAGACTTTTGGGGCTGAGCTTTCATTCCCAAAATCCAACGACAATGTGATGTACGTTCAGTCTATTAGTCTCACACCTGTAAAGCTCTGAGTTGTGATTATGCAATCTCCGTATATCTCTGTATATCTCTGTATATCTCTGTATATCTCTGTATATCTCTGTATATCTCTGTATATCTCTGTATATCTCTGTATATCTCTGTATATCTCTGTGTCCCTGAGGCCACGCCTCCTCTTCTTCTTCCTCTTCCTCTTCATCTTCGTTCTCATCCTGCAAGAGAATGATGAGACAGCACACAAAACGAATCATGACTTGAGATGGTTTCCCATGGTTTCCCAATTTCCCAACTGTCTCAGTCCTCGTCTTCCTCTGACTCTGTTTCCTCTTCCTCGACTGACTCCTGCATAAAATGCGAGAATAGGATTTATTCACCAAGACCATCTGCAGTGTCCAAACAATTCGCAACAAGGAAATATTGAGTTGTTCCCACGTTGCAAGGCTAAGGTTCTCAATGTCAAGAGAATCCAACCGGGACAGCAAATTGTGTACATTTTGCGTTGCAGCGGTACAAGCAATGATGTTTATATTTCAGTTTGAACACGAATCATTGCACCAACAAGTTGCACCAACCTGTGGGTTTGCTTCCTTTCTCTGTCAACTCACCATTTTTCGTGGCCAATTTGGTGGTCCAATGATCTCATCCCCAGGTGGACTTTCTCACAGGATGCCATGGTCACCATGCCGTCACCACGGCCTCTTCACTGCTGGAGCCGGCAACGAAGGACTCCTAAGTGGTCAACAAGCCCGAGAAACCCTTGCTGTAAATGGGGACCCAGCAAAATACGGAAAGGTTTTTTCATGTTGAGATATCATGTTATAAAATGGGAAAAGTCAAAGAAAGTGTTGGGCTAGATTCGCTAGATGGGCCTTCACCAAGTGAAAATTTCAATAATTTAATCATAGAATCGGTACGGGGTGCTATCTATCATTTGGGAGCAAACGTTGAGTAAATGGCATGGGTTGGGTTTGAGGTAGATAAGGTACGCATAAGGTGCGCATAAGGTACGCATAAGGTACGCATAAGGTACGCACAGAGCCGGGACATGTTAGTCTTGGTTGAGGGTGCACAGAGATTTTGATGTGGAATTGAGGTTTTAACCTTTTTCAGGTCAGTTTGAAAAACCATGTCCTTTTGAAAATCACCTCATTTCATTTTTTGAGCGGTTTGAGTGTGTCCCGAGTAGGTTTTGAGGTTTTCCGTTTGCATATCATTTCTCACATTTTTGTTCATTGGATGTGGGCTAAATTCACATCAAATGGCATTCAACCAGATTTTGAAGATGAACGCGTAAATTTATTCAATCTCGCCCAATTGGCACTCAAAGACATGATTTGTGAAGATCTACTCAAACGTTACTCAAAGGATAAGAACACATCAATTTACTCGAGACAAGCCCGATGCAAACTCAATATTTATAGTTTGAATCACTGCTGTCGTAGTTGAATTCTATGGGTAAAGAAACGTTCATATGGTGATGCGAAACCATTGGCCAATTCCATTCGCCAAGTTGCGAAGTCCACTCCACGATCTTCGCTGTCTGCTGCCTGTAGAATGTCGAATGGCTGAAACATCTGGCTGCAAGGGCGACCCTTCACACCAGTTTTGCAACTCAACAGTGCATTGAGAGGCACAGATTGGCCTGCAGTCGCCTCTCTTGGATTTGGTCAATCAGGGTACACAAGCTCAGCCTGCGGAAGGAGAAGTGGGTGCGGTGCGGAAAACACGGACAACATGAACCTTCCCACTTCCTGGCTATGCGGCGCCACCGCGCCACCGCGCCTGCGCGTTTGCAGCAAGGATGCACCTGTAGCGACTCATAGAGTTTCCAAGCGCAATGTGTTCTGGAAAAAAGGGGAAGATCCCATGTTTGCTTTCAGGTCTGTCTCATGGCATTGCGACATCCAATTTTTCAACCTATGCTGGAAGCCTCCCACTTCTACAGCAACAAGAAACTATATAATTGGTTTCACTCGGAACCTGCCACGGGTGGCTTTTACATGTTTTTACTATGTATGCCGCATGCCCCTTGTCACCCATCTGGGACGCAACCCATGACTCCAAGTTCCCAACTCGTAGTCTCCACAAGCAATGATTCCACCTTCGCTGGCAAGTTTAAGAGCCAACTCTTTCAATGATGTTCAATGCAAATGTGGTTTCTCTATCTGTTTTTGATGCTACCCGTTGGAACTAGGAAAGTAGGTCCACTCCAAACATGCTGATATCAGTCAAACCTCTGTAGTGAAGGCCAAGTCCAACGCTGCAGCACGGACCTCCCGGGTTGGCTCGCCAGTGCTCAGGTCCGAGACTCATTTAAGCCGACTTTTTTACTCATTATAAGCCGACATTTTGTATGTTGACTTCAGAGTTAACTCCATGGGGTACAGACCTTTAGGTTAACACTTGGGGACACTTGGGGTGGGTTTAGGGGACACTTGGGGACACTTGGGGTGGGAGTAGGGGACACTTGGGGACACTTGGGGTGGGCTTAGGGAACCAACTCCAAGGGATACAGCCCTTTAGGTTAACACTTGGGGACACTTGGGGTGGGTTTAGGGGACACTTGGGGACACTTGGGGTGGGCTTAGGGAACCAACCAAGGGATACAACCCTTTAGGTTAACACTTGGGGACACTTGGGGTGGGTTTAGGGGACACTTGGGGACACTTGGGGACACTTGGGGTGGGTTTAGGGGACACTTGGGGACACTTGGGGTAGGCCTAGGGAACCAACTCCAAGGGATACAGCCCTTTAGCTTAACACTTGCGGACGCTTAGGGGACACTTGGGGACACTTGGGGTGGGTTTAGGGGACACTTGTTCAAACTACCAACACGTGCTGTCATTGCTGCGACGGCGTCGTCCATATTAGGTCATTGCGCACGCTGTTCCTGCCAGATGTTCCTGATACGTTGTAGCATCTTCTTCGAGTGACTTGCACACGTTCCTGCTACATTGTGACATCTTCTGCGCGGCCCTTCCGACATGTTCCATGCATGACGTTGTCACATCTTCTTCAAGTCCCTTGAATGATGTTCTTGCTATGTTGCAACATCTTCGTCAAGTAGCTTGCAATACATTCCTGATACGTTGCAACATCTTCCTACTTGTTAAAAAAATGCACGACCTTCCTGATACATGTGTCACCTCGTCTTACAGTAACTTGCCAGATGTTCCTGATACGTTGTAGCATCTTCTTCAAATGACTTGCAACACGTTCCTGATGCATTGTGACATCTTCTGCGCGACACTTCCGACATGTTCCATGCATGACGTTGTCACATCTTCTTCAAGTCCCTTGAATGATGTTCCTGGTATTTTGCAACATCTTCGTCAAGTAGCTTGCAATACATTCCTGATACGTTGCAACATCTTCCTACTTGTAAGTAAATTGCACGACCTTCCTGATACATTGTCACCTCGTCTTACAGTAACTTGCCAGATGTTCCTGATACGTTGTAGCATCTTCTTCAAATGACTTGAAACACGTTCCTGATACATTGCGACATCTTCTGCGCGACACTTCCGACATGTTCCACGCATGACGTTGTCACATCTTCTTCAAGTCCCTTGAATGATGTTCTTGCTATGTTGCAACATCTTCGTCAAGTAGCTTGCAATACATTCCTGATACGTTGCAACATCTATCTTCCTACTTGTAAGTAAATTGCACGACCTTCCTGATACATGTGTCACCTCGTCTTACAGTAACTTGCCAGACGGTACTGATACGTTGAAGCAACTTCTTCAAGTGAGTTCAAACATGTTCCTGATACATTGCGACATATTCCTGATACGTTGAAACATCTTCTGAAAAGTGACATGCAATTCATATGATCGAATCAAAATGTCCTGCTCATCATCTCTGTCACACCTGTTGCAGTCATATTCAAAGACTTCTATGTCACTTTCTATTGGTGCTGCCATCATATTTCACAAACGTAGGCGTAAGCGAGTAAAAACGTAGGCTTAAGCGAGGTACTGACCCAGTGTTCAAGTCTGAAGATATTGGCTTTGCTACATGTTTTGAAACTATGCGAAGTGTTGTGAATTGAATTTATGTACAGAGAAGAAATGATGCAAGTCTCTTTGGGGAAAGCCAGCTGGCAGATTGTCACAACATGTCACAACATGTCACAACCAAAAAGCCCGTCTCCTGTAGCGGGTACTTCTCATCCAAA